GCAGAGTATACCTGGAACTTCTTGGGACCTTAGGGCTAGTTATGTCTAGAAACATCTATATGGCGTCTCTTGCGTTTTTGCAGGAGTGAATTTTTTAGTTGGAACTAGATGATCTTCAAGGTCCCTTCCAACCCTTACCATTCTATGATTCTATGAAGGATGAGTTTATAAGTAGATTACAGAAGCTAATAAATTATTTATAGATGTTCTGGTAGTTAATCAATTATTTTAGACTTAGATAAGTAAAGAGGCTGCTTATAACCATAGCCTGTAGCCATCAAAGCCACTTTATTTTAGCTGTGTTTATTCACACTTCAGTATCAGTATGTTGCAGATAGGCTAACATTTATTAATGATTTATTAACCTGGTAGAAACCATCGTTAAATGCAAGCTTTGTGCAAAGTGAGACCATTTCTTCTCTTATTTCTGCTTTCCTCCTACTGAGAGAGGTCTGCTTAAGGCAGCTGTCATAGCCGATGGGGAAGCAGCAGCGTTTCTTCTCTGTACTACACTAAGCATAGAGCTAAGAGGAGGACTTCATTTTTCTTGTCTTGTCAGTAACTTAATCCTTTGCGGTTTTACTGTTCCTGAAATAATAAAGTCAGTCTGGAGCCAAAGGAAAGCCCTGCTCAATTCTCAGGAAAGCACAAGGATGAAGTAACCTTGGTCTTTCCCAAGCTAGTGAGCAAACGTTTTCTGCTGGTGACTTTCCCTGGCTGGGAGAGCAGAAGCATCTCCTGCAAATAAAACTCTGTCCTGGAAGTTACAACAATGATACTCTGCACCAGAGTCCATAATGAATACACATTGCGTTAGTACTGTCTAAGGGAAGACAAGCCCAGGAGACGAGCCATTGGTTTTCTGCATCAAATTTACCAAAGCAAAATGAATACTCGCATTTCAGTGGGAATCTGCCCTTGCTAAACTTAGATTTTGTGAAAAACCCTGTAAAAACTATGTAAGCCTCCTTTTAACTCCTTCCCTTCTCCTCTGCAATCTAATGAACAAAATGTCAACATGTATGCAAAAAGATGCTACTATTCAGGAGCAGAAATGTACTCTAGCGTCACATCTGTAACAAGGCAGGAGACGCTTTCAAGTTCTTACTTTCCATGACTCATTTGGAAAAGAATTCTTTTTTTTTGATGTGCCTTCACTAATGTGCAAGAATTAAATGAACGGGCAAAGTAGTGCTTACAAGGTAGAGCCCTGCAGAAATTTTTTTTGGCCAAATTCCAGCTAATACTGGAATCACTGTTTGATTGTAATAAGAACATAGATGATGAGTTGTTACAGATGGGCTGTTTCACTGCGGCTGAGCGCTCCTAGGTCCCACCGATATCCACCAGGACTTTAGGACACTCAGCATCTTTTGATGTCAAGAGCCAGAGGAGGAAATCATAGGAAGCAGTTCTACCTCTTTATTCTCTGCAGCAGTAAAACAAAAGGAAAAACACTTCTGTAGTTTCATGGTTTGCCATTTCTTCATTAGTTGTTTCTTTTAGCCCTTACTGCTGTGTGTTAGAGGGTTTTAGAATGTTTGAGGCACAAGGAATAACAGGAATCATTTATTTTATGCCAAGAATTGTTTGATAATTTTTTCTTAAATCTATTGGCTCACTACAACCTAAAAATCATGAGAAATATATACAGAAAGATCTGTGAGAAGCAGTATAATTATTTCAAGGACCTCATCAGTCTTAGGGCCAATAGATTTATATGTTTAAGCGTGACATACAGATCTAATCGTGAGACGTGTTCCTCACATGAATGCTCCTTATGCTCCTGGCTACTTATGTTGACTTCCATGGGACTATTTTTGTGTTAGATTTATGGAGCTGATTTTTAATGGGTAGCAGTCTGTCCTTATTACAGCGAGGAAAACCAGGTGAAATACAGAGTTGTGTGAAGGCAGAATCTGGAGCAGTTCGTACTGAGAGCGAAGAAAGTTCTTTTTCTTTTTAAACAAACAAACTAATATATAACCAATATATTTAGAAGGAGTTTAGTTTTTGTTTTTACTTCTCAGTATATTTGACCTTCAAAAGGACATACAACAATGCAATTGAGAGCTGTGCTGCCTACAAGCTCAGCTCCTTGTTGTGTCTGTGCAGCTGAGAAAAGTGAAAATACGGAAGCAGATACTTTGAGTTCCCAGTGAGAAAAAAGAAAACTGTCAGTCTTTTCTTGCTATATTGTTAAATATCTCTATTTAAATGCAAATGATCGTCTGACACTGCCGAAGTCATGTACCAGGAAGCAGGCGTGTGGGTTAAAAAAAAATTCTCATGATTTTTGAAGAAGCTAGATCACTTTTATTTCCAGGAGGGGTAGAATTGGCTGAATACATTTTGGTTATGTACCAAGGGTCAGCTTAGCACCTAGGAGTTTCAAATATGAAGATTTTAAGTATAGCGTTTGCAGAAGTGTGGGTGGCCTCTCTAGTTAGAAGTCACTTGGAGGGGTGCTTGAAGTTTTTTCTGTGTTATCTCACTGCACATACTGCAGCGGAAAGCCCAGTGCATACAGTATGTTTTGGAAGGGGATAGAATCCAGGGACAGAAAGAGGAAGAAACAGTCGACCTGGCGCCTTGTTCTGCCTCAGGAATGTGTGGTTACACGTGATCTGTGCAGTGCTTTACGCTGCATCTAGCTGCAAGACTCTGGTTTTCTCCTTAGACTCTAGACCCCTTAAGCTAGACAGGCAAGAGATTTGACCACAAGGAAGGATTGGGTGTCAAGCGGTCTTGCAAGAGGAGGCTGTGTTGTCCATGGGCTGTGGTTCCTCCCTAGCTGCCCCCCAGCAGGGATGCTCCTGCTCAGGTGAGGACCAAGCAAAGCAAGTGGTGAAAAGGTTATTTGAACATGCATCCAGGGCCCTCCCACTTCTTCTGTTCGTCAGGGATAGCCAGTTTATAAAACCCACTTCCTAGGGATCATTTTTATTCAGTTGGGTCAGCACCAAAGGCAACAAACAAACTGTGTCTTGCTGAGACTCCTCTGTTAAAATTCTTCCTTTAATTTGCTGTTTACCTCACCTTCTTTTTAAACTTCCATTCATATTAATCATTATGGTTGTATTTGCTTTCTGCACAAGATTACATTAGTCTCAATAATCATAATAATCATTATTATTGATTAAAGTTGCATTATTCATGCCAGATGGAGTCCCCTCACTGTCAGCCAGAATGAGTTTGCATTATGTAGTTATAGTACATTTGTGATCTAAATAAACAGATGGCAGAATGTGACAGCAAATTATGTGCTGGTGATGTCAGCAACAACGCTTCCCAAGTATAATTGCTTTAAATGAACATGAATGCAGCAAGGACCTGGTAGTTTTAACAAGGTAGTTGGCATAAAGTGTGGTAATTACCATACAACATCATCAATAGCACCATGAATGCTGTGCGAGTGCTGAGGGAAGAACGCTAGCTTTGAAAAAGTAGTGACAGAAAGTCCGACTTTACACAGCTGTCACAGTGGGTTTGCTCAGCTGTATAATATCTCTTAGGTATAAGCACACTGCCAGCAGAGAAGCAGTGTTTTCTTTTGGGGTGATCCAGCCTTTGCTGTGATCCATTTTGCCTTTTCTCCAATGCTGTCTCCCATCAGGCTGTGTGGGAAGTATTTGATTTGGTGTAATGGAGCAGCGTTAACAGCGGCTGCTGTTAATATAGGATTGAAAGGTAAGCTTCTGGATCAGGTTCAAAGGGGAAATTTGCTTAATAGAATCTCATCAGTATTCAGTGATGAATGAAAGTTTAATCAAAGATGAGGTTAAGTTCCTGTGGTCAAAAGAACAGTGATAAGGACTGTGCATAGTGTTTAACAATGCTTACGTTGGGTTTCTCAGTTCATCCCTTCAGGTCTGGCTGGGTGTAAAGGCCTTGGCTGCCTACACCTGAGGCACTGCCACACCTGGGCTTTAGCAGCTGGGGTGCAGGGTGCAGTAAGGCAGGCTCTCTGAGCGTGCTCTGGGAGAATTTGGCATTCAGGAGGGAGAAGCACTAAGAGCAGAAGTGTGACTAAGCTCTGACCACATCTGGATGGGAGCTGTGGAATGAGGTCTCCATTTGCTCGCAGTCAGAACTCGCATGTGACTGTCCGAGTGTGTTCTTAAATAACATAAGATGCAGGCAGAGGAGACTGTGCCAGTCCTTCTGCCCGCTTTCCATTTCCTCGCACAGTGGTCAGCATTTAGCCGTGAAATGGAAGATGTGAACTGAACTCCCTCTTCAGTCCAAGTGATTTTCAGTGACTAATTACTAGGTAGTTTGTAACATTTTATAAGAGCTACCATTGCTAACTCTTCCTCCTCCATCTGTATTTTACAATGAAAGCACTTACAGTTCCTTCTCTCTTGAGGGATTAAACCTGTCAGCACGTGGAGGGACTATGTAGAGCATCACCTCTAGGTTCTGAAGAACACGAGGTTCCTTCAGAAGCATAACCGCAGGCAGCTAGAGAATCAGCAGTCAGAAAAGGAAAGGTTCTGTGAGCTTAGCTGTCACTGGGGTTAAGTAGTTGCCCAGGGGGGGGGCTGTTAATCAAAGGCGTGGGGTGTATTGCCCCGTTGTTTAGGTGAAATTGAATATGAGTTAGATAGATATCCTCTCTAGCACAGCCACTCCTCCTCCTGTGGAGGAATGAGTGGATCTCACATAGAGAGCAATAGTAACAGCACTGGGTGATGAAATTGTTCCTCAGTCCTCTGGACTTGATCACCTTATTTTGTTTTAAAATGTCCCAGTTATTGTACATAGCAGAGAGGTATTTAGGGTAGACAGCACTTAGATAAGTACCCATATTTCATATATGTTTGACACCAAGTCTGGCTATTTATCTGGAACTTTTTTACAGGCACTATTTCAACCTTGGTAAAGCATAAAATCCCTCTAAGGACAAGATCGACCCTCCTCCTCAGCGGTTGCTGGATGTTGAAGAAATGAAAGGAAGCCATATTTCTAATCTCTCTCTCTTTCTGTCTGTCCTGAAGGTGGTCGATGTCACAAGTCCTGCACAGGCCGATGCTGGGGTCCCACAGAGAATCACTGCCAGACCTGTAAGTATGCAAGACTCTGAGAAACAAAGGACTGAAAAATGATGTAACAGGGATCCTACATTTTTTTTAGTCATGAAGGGATACTGTAAATTCGTTTTTTAGTATAATTCTAAAATATTTCAAGGGGTTTTCCATATGTTTTTACCAACAGATGATCTGCTTTTTTTCTCCTCCAATGTGAACTTCTGTTTTTCTTTCCTCCCTTGTGCTTTCTAAAAATGCTTGAGCTCATCTGAATTTTCTTTTCACTTCTTGGTGGCAACATGGAGCATGGCTCCTAAGAATATTGATGGCTATTTTGGAATGCACTGAATTGAATACTGCAGGAATAGAAAAAACTACAAGGTGGATGTAGTTTGGAGATCTTTAATAACAGCCTGATGCTGCAAAGTTCCTAATGCCAAAATACTCTGCTAATTTCAGTTCAAGGCCAGGAATATTAGCTATTTTGCAGAACTGTTCTCTTTATAATAACTCAGAATGTGTTTGAGTTGTACTGAAAGAGAGAATAATAGCTTTTTGTGAAGGAAGTAGTACACAATGTCTGTCTGTCCTCTTGAATTTAGAGAGCATTAAAATGAATAAAAAAGAACTATATTGAGAGAGTTTCTTCCTTGTGTGCTTTCAGCTCCTTCAGATAGGCGCTAAAGAGCTAGAAGTGCAGTCACAATATTAGCAAATATAAAAGAGGAGAAAATTGAGAGCTGTCTTTTCCTACAAGTTTTTTTCTTTGTTTTCCTCCTTATGGGAATAGAGCTATCCTTTATATTTCCTTTCTTTGAAATTTAGGAGAGTGGAAATTGGTTGTGTTTACTGGAGTCACTCTTCCTAGGAAATGAAGTGGTTGCTGATATCTTCTCAAGAGAGAGCTGCTTTACCTTGCGCTTGTTTCCTTGGCTGAGTCATAGGTAGGAGGAAGGGATTATGACAAATTAATGACTATCAAGCGAGCATATCAACTAACGCCTTTTGGCTACTCGGAGCCAAAAAGAAGTCAGAGCTCAGAAAGCCTCCTTACATCAAGGTTATTTGCTGAAGCAGATAATGGAAATGGACTTAAACCCTAGATTACCGAATTATTTTATATCATGATTAAGCTAGAATTAATTAATGCTGGTTCTTTCTCTGTCCTAATGAGAGGCCTATTTGTCTATTAAAACTAGTAACTCTGTAAGAACCTGGATAATTCACCCAAACCTGAGTAGACTTACTTAGACCTTATGTGTTCAGTTAATCCAAGAATACTGTAAAAAACCTCGGCAGCTATATTATATAAGGAAGATATGATCCTGGCTCAGGCCTTGGCTCCAGCAAGCAGAGGCTCCAGCCTTATAAAAAGTTGGAAAGTCCAACTGGACTCTCTGTGTGGCTGAAGAAGTCAATGTGGCAGGATCGGCTCCCATGGTCTCAACCTCTACAAAGCACTGCTCTCAGATAAGTGAACTGATTTGTTGGATTAGTGTAGTAATACCAGCAAGAGAAAAACTTATCTGCAGTGTTGTGAAGTCAGAAGCTTAGCAGAGCTGCACGGTAGGTTTGCTTCAGGAGTGACAGCTATCAGCTTCACAGTGACTGCCCTCTCAAATCCAAACAGTGGGGCCAGACTAAGGCACAGCTGTGGATTTATAATAATGAACTATGGAAAGACATATGCCATCTAAGTTCCAGGGAGATACACAGATCACACCTTTCTAGTTTGAAATAGCTACTCTACGGCCTTTTACCTTCAAGCACACTTTGCAGCCTCTGGATGTCAGGGACAGGAGTTAATTTTGTAGCATATACTTCCTCTTTGCCTCCCTGACCTCACTGCACATTGGGTAGACAGCAGGATTTAAGGAAAAGAGTGAATATTAGGCTGGCAGTGGGCATTTCTTCATTGCACTTTCTCAAAATGTGTTTTTCTGCAAACAATTTGAAGCAAAGAATAAGACTATGAGTAGGGACTCGAAACATAAAAATGCAGGTGGTGCTATGCTTTTGCTGCCTTTGTTTCTGACTTTAAAAAAACATGTCTGGCTTTCAAGCCCATAAATGTTATGCTTAGATACAAGCTGGAGATAGGATGAATGGGATCACAAACATAGCGTATACCTTAACCTAGTCACCTTGAGGGTGCATGTCTTTCAAATGCGTGTTGGAAAACACTCCAGCAGTACTACATCCCAGTGTCAAACTATTTTGTTCCTAGAAACAACTCAGAGGCACATCTGCATTTTAATAATTTCATTATTTTATGGAGTCACTGAAGCAAAAAATTCTAATGAGCCTCCCTCCCAGGATAAGATATAAATTATTTTCCTTGGAAAGGATAAAAAATGAAAGATCTTAATCCGTGTCTTTCATTTCAAATTACATATGGAAAAAAATCAAAATCCTTTTGTTTTTTGCATGAATATCATCTGTTTAGCTGCTTCTTATGTTGCCTTCCAGCAATGTCTCTTTGTACTTCTGACTCTGTCTGAAACACCACCTGCATCTAACTCCATCCTAATATCTGTCTAGATGTGACAGGAAAATTTACGTATTTAAGAAGACAATTAATAGGAAATTTAAAATAAACTGTTCTATTAGGAGATAGAGAAGATGTAATTTCAGGGTACTGTTTTATGCAGTTAACAATCCCTTTTTCTTTCATAATTAAAATATTAGTTAATACTGGTTTTGAACATTTAAAAGCTAGACAGTATTCTTTGTTTTAGTGTCAGGAAAGGCTAGTGTGGAAATACTTTAAAAAATAATGTTTTTTAAAGAGTATTGGGCACCCACTGAGTAGAATGTAAATCACTTTAAAGAAACACAACAAATGCTTTTGGAAGTTACTAATCAAATTTGAGAAATGTGGTTAGGTTGTTACTATTTTTGCTGTTGATGTCTGTTAACAGTTTGGATTTTTTTTGCTTTTCATATGAAAAGAAATTGAAACTTTTACAAATTGAATACATTATTTTGTTAAAATGACAGATAATGCACCTTGTCCTAGAGGAATGTAACTGAAACAAAACAGAAAAACCTAAATTAAAACATAGGCCAACTAAGGGAATGTAAAAAAGGAAAATAGCCTTTAAATCAAACCTGAAACATAAACATTCAGCAAATGTAAAATGCTCCATGACTGTGTACATGTACAGGAGTTTGTCCTGAGCATAATTGTATTTATACAGTCTGTGTGCAGCTGATGTTGCTGAGAAAAAGAAGGTGCCGATGCAGAAAGTACCCAATTAGAGAAGCAAAAGGCAAGCAGGAACCAGGTGGAGGAGACAGAAAGAGCTGAACCAGCAGCTTAGATCAATCAGGGTAACCCAGCATTTTTGCTTGGAGCGAGCATCTTTAATTAAAATGCTTGTATTTCTCTAATAACTTCACATGTTCATGAGACTTTTTCATTGATTTCAGATACTTCCCATTCTTTCCTTCATAGATTTATAGTGCCCTGACATAATTAAAGATTAAGGGAAACAATAAGAGAGACTGATTAATTGCACACAAATGTGAAGTGCCCATTTCACCCCATCCTCAGCACAGCTTATTGCTATATTGCAGTGAAGTACTGGTAGAGCTTGACAGTCAGTGTTCTGCACTCCCCCAGAAACCTGTCCCAACGCGTGGCACGTTTTTTCAAGACCTTGGTGTTTGCCGCTGTCCTTTGCTGTCCCGGCCCCAAATGTGATAGTTCTGTGCAGCCGAACCCTCAGATTTCTAGGCACCCCACAAAGGGTCAGTAGGCATCAGGGCAGATAGTTGTACTGATCTTCAAAAGTCTGTTTCAAAACTTGGGGCCTCAGCTGTGATTAGTGAAAGGTCTCTTCACAGTTATGTTGGGTGAAGAAACAAGTATCTGGTACCTAAAATTCCTTTGGGGTCCCAGCCCAGAACTCCTGGATCTCATGTGTGTGTCTGGGCTGCAGAAGGATGTGATGTCAGGGCTCCTGATCCCCCCTGTCCACCAGCTCCCGTGTAAACACTGGGTAGCAGGAGAAGGTCAGTATTGCTCCACTCTTGTCTCTCAGCTTGCAGCAGGGTTGCTCTGAGTTGATGCTGCCTGTTTGCAGCAGCTGCCCAGTTCCCTACCATCTGTCCTCACTTTTGGCACCATCTTGAGCCACGTGTCCCCTCTGGGAGCCACCCACCAACATTCATTAGCCTGAACTTATAGTTTGATATTTGGGGTAATATTTAGCTTTACATTTCACTCTTTCAGATAGGTCTTGAGTCACAGCTATAGAATCAATTGATTGCATTTGGGGGAAGGTTTTGGGGGACGAAGCTTGCTATCTGTTTAAACCAGTGCAGCTATGTATATTTTCTATAGGGTTACCCTATGGTAAGGATTGCAGGAAGCTGAACTGTTGAGTATGTTTATTGGAAACTGAACAATGAGATTGTTTTGGGACTTCAAACAATACATAGTATTGCCTTGTGTTTGTTTTGTTTTGGGGAAAACCCTTCATTGCAAACTGTCTTGAATATGAATCCTCAAAAACATTCAGAGCCCACTAAGCTCTTTTCTGTCGTGATGTGTGGTGCTGCTGAAGAGATCTGACAGGTGCTCCTCAGAGCTGGACCCTCAATAGAAGTTGTAATGCAAATACAGCATGCAGTAAACCAGAAGATAAATACAGTATGATGCGGTGAAAAGCCGGAATTGAAGACTCAGTGGTCGGCAGACTATTAAGCAGGTATTCTTTATTGCGGCGCCGGGCACACGGGGGATCTCTCCTCCGAACGTGTGCACCGAAGAGACACAGTTACTAGGTATTTATGCTATATTAACATACATATTAATTACATTTCCAAGAAATGTTTATCATAGTAATGGCTTTTCCGAGAATTCATTAATATATGGTAATGTCCGTCGCACATGTTTGCCTGGCGTCTCTCGGCGGGGGTCTTCAGATTATCCTGCAGCCTCCTTATCTCTGTAGTTTGCATACTTGTTCTCCCAAGGCCCAGGCGCCTAAAGGGATTATTCAGGAGTCCCTTGTCTTGCAACCATCCGAATTATTCACAAAGAACCAAGACTTGTTTCTGACCACCTGAAGTGATAACATCCCCCACATGTTACATTTGTTACATTTACAGTTATCAGTATGTTGTGGCCTTTTCCTGGAATGAAATGTTGGCATTTCTGTTCACGTTGTTTGCTTTCCCAGCAAAATAAACAATTAGGGAAGAACAGCAACAAACCTGCCATAATTGTAAATTTTGCAAACCCATTTATAACTTCTTAGTCTTCAGGACAACTCAAAATGTTTCCTGTCCTGAACAGCATGGTAGAGGCTCTCATTAAGCTGGTGCATAATCATAAGCGGAGTATGCTTACTCAGCTTACTGTGCCCAAAAGGGGCCGTATCCCTCAAGGTTAGTCCTGGTGCGGGCAGTGCTCTTGGTCTTTTTGAAAAGGAAACATCCTCTGGAATAAATTGTTGTAGTATCATACAAATTATGGGTGCTTAAAAAAAAAATTACAATATCTGTAACTTTATACGTTGCAAAATCCTTAAAGTGGGGCTCTAGAGGAGGGTGAATAATTTGGATTATTTTGTCCTAGCCTAATAGTGTTGAAAACTGCTGAAAAGATGTCAGTAAATTGCTTAAATCTATTGCTGTTGTTGGAGCTCGTTTCCCCACGCTGTTTAAACTATGCAGCCTAGGGAAGCGCTATTATCTGCAGCTTTGCTTGAAAGAAGTGTGTAATCCTGCAAATAAAGATCTTAGCTCCTTAAAAGTAATAGCTTGTGATTTGACAAGTCAATCATGATTTTTCTAAGTATACCCAGGGATGGACAGTGTGATTTGGGTCATCAGCACCAGGGACAGGAGAGGCAGGTCCCTCCTTCCCTCGAGGCAAGGGATTTACCTCCTCAGGGCTTGTTTTTGGGTAGGCAGTGGTGGAGGATTCCCAGTTTCTCTTGCAGCTGATGTCATGGGACATGCTGCTGGGACTTGGCCTGCTTGTCCTTTCAAAAGTCTACCAGGAAACCTCCTCCACAGGGAAGCAATGGTTATATAGTAACAGTGGACATCTTGACCCATTCCAAGCAGCAGCTGGCACTGAGGTAAATAAATTATAATTGAGTTAATTAGGTGGCTCCTACTAATTGTCTACACAGAAGTGCTATGCTACTGGTGTGCTGTAACTTTTTAGGGTGTGATAGATGGGGCGATGCTGGTGAGAGGAACTCAGACGCTGCACCCTCTGCCTGCAGAACCTTCTAGAAAGGGGCTCTGAGCATGCCCGGTGGGGAGGGGCACACTGCATGCTCTGTGGGAGGGTCAGCCATTGGACTGCCCCCTACCAGGAGCTGTTCAGTGCATGGCCTCAGCCAGCCAGAGGGGCAGAAAGTGCTGGCAGAGGGGAGGTTGTTTTAAAAAGCGAGGCAAGCACAGTCATGAACAGATGTTGTGTAAAAAGGGAGATGGAGTGTTTGGATGGTGCGCCCTTGGCTCGGAGGCCAGCTCCTTGTCTGAGGAGTGACACAGGTAAAGACAGAGGATTTGGGTTGTGGGACGGGATGGTGTGAGCATCCTCCACATCTGTGCCTCTCCACTGATGGCAGAGGGGGGAGCCTCTGACAAATAGGGTCTTCCGTCAAGTCAGGATGCATCTGGGTCTTGCTTCCTTTTGAGGTCAAAGCAGATGGTGTCCGGTCCAGTGCAAAACGAGGTGTTGTGGTCCAGTTTCTGAACTGGCAGAAAGCAACATGCAGTCACTGACTAAATGAGGTCTTAATTCATTTTCATGAGATGAGACTCTGTCCCTATCAACTATAGGTATGGTGGTGACATGCTGTGACGTGTGTTTTGCTTAACATATGCCACTGTTTTATTTCTCTGTACTAATGTTTATCAATACTGTTACTTAAATAAACAAATCCTTTTAGTCTGTTTGTCAAGCAGTGTTGACAGCAAGTGCACTTACAGAAATTTTCCTTATTTCTTAAATCAGATTGCATAAGGCACAAAAGTGTTTTGTGTCTGGGGGCTTGCTTCTGGTATCAGCAAGATGAAATTACTCTAAAAGTGCATCACTTTGTTCCCTAGATTATAAATGATCACTTCTCTTTGGTTATTTACATTTTTGTGTCCTAAATAAATACTGTGTGTCTTGAGAAACTTTGCTATTGCCTTAAGTCTTTCCAGCAAGTAGTGGAGGGAATTTGGATTGGAAAGTACCTACAAAGGAGTTGCCGATACATTAAATAGTAAAATCAGGCAGAAAGTTGGATGGAATTTTGTGTTATCTAGCTTCTTGAAAAGTGTTTTCCATAGAGAAGCAATTCAGTGCTTTTAGCTAAATAAATGGCAAAGGTTAATTACAGAAATGTAGCATCTCTGCTTTTATCAAAAGACAACTGACAGCACAGCTTCCTGGCATTTTGTAGATGGTGGCTGGTATAGTCCTGTGGATAGTATGAACTTCTTTTTCCATAAAATAAAGCTAGAGGTTATAGCCAAGTGAGTGAAGGAAGATGGTCCACTTGTTGACCCTTCTTTGCACGAGACTAAGCCCTGAAGTACAGTAGCGTGGTACCACTTCAATCACTGTGCTTTCCAGTTCGTAGAATATAGTTGTTTCCCTGTGAATGAAGGCTGAATTGTGTTATTTAGAAAAGGTAAGTGGTGTTTCCAAATGTGTTCCAATCCACAGGTTGTATTCTGTTCTGCTATCTCATTGCCTGTTTGTCAGATTGGTTGCCATCAAGAACAGCATTTGGCTCGGGGATTGCTGGCCTCATTCTGAATTTCGCTCATTTACTCAGTGTTGCTGTTCTTCATGGGGGAAAATTCACATGGAACTGATGGACTCTTCTGTTACTTTGTACGGTTTTTTTTATATCCTTCCATCCGCTGTTTACAAAAAACTAATAATTTGAAAACAATATTTCACCTGAATTAGCGCAAATACTTTAAAAATTCTTCTGCCACAGTCCTCAAGCAACGTATATGTCCCTAAAGAGGGTTTGTGCAGGTATTCTGGAGGATATGAGTGGCCAGTACTATTGAAGCAATTATCTTAAATTTGAGGGTTTCTTCAGTATGCTGTTCGATTTGTTGTTTTCCTCAGTGTGCAGTTGAAGAGCTCTCTCCTTAGTTCTGATTCTGATATGTTGATTTTTCCTGCCTCCTCCTAGTAACGAAGACAGTGTGTGCAGAGCAGTGTGATGGACGGTGCTATGGGCCCTACGTCAGTGACTGCTGCCACCGGGAATGCGCCGGAGGCTGTTCCGGACCTAAAGACACTGATTGCTTTGTATGTGTGAGACTTCTCATTTTTCTTTTTCTTGGCAGTCACACTGCAAATTCTTAATGCTTTAATCCATGAAATTCACGATTTTGTCCCTTTTAATGTATTGCATACACACTCCCAGATTTAGACTGCAAGTTTTAGCATGTAATATTTTTCACATTATATTAACATCCCTTATTTACTTAATATTACCCATTAACAGATTTACAAGATCTGTAAATACAGATTGGGAACCGTTAACATGCTAATCTCTGTGATTTTTATCTTTTGCTTTTCTAAAATTAACTTTCAGAGGTGATAGGGAATGTTTAGAAGTATTTATTATTACGTTTGAGCAAGGCTTTTATTACTGCTCTGTGTGCTTTTTATTTGAAAGTCAAGAATGCAGTTTAGCTTCTCTCTGAAGAGTGTTCCGTATTACTGTCAGACTTGAGTCAAATTCAGCTTATTTACTGGGCATTCTTCTTGGTGGAGATGGAAGGAAGTTGATTTCCAAAATGCTCTACCTCAAATGCGTGCTTACTACATGTACTTCAGATGAAAAAAGGGAAAGGGTAACTTTTTCCTTAAAAAAATAGACAATCTGAACATACAGGCCTTTAGACAAATTCTTCTTGCTTGTATTTCAGTATTCACAGTAGTATGAAGCAGCTTCAGAACCCTACACTGATCTCAAAAAATGTGTAGCTCGCCACACTGGGTTGCAGAGACAAGTTTTGCTAATGTTTTCAGGGGAAGCAAACCTAGGCCAAATGAAACCTAGAACTAGAAAATGCCCAGAGAGGTGGATTTTCAAAGGTGCCCAAGTGACTGAAGAGACAATTATTTACAAAGTTGGGTAGGCTTCTTTTAAAATCTGCCAGATAGGATTGGGAGGAGAGATCTTATGGTATGGAAAACTGCAGATATTTTGATAGTGTAGGCAAGTGGATCATAATGAACTAGCAAAAATGAACCTTTTCTTGGCTGGACCTGAAACTTGCTTGCTATTCAGATATCATTCGATAGTGTTAAGTGTTGTGCTTCAAAAACACATTCTAAATGCTATTGTTTCACTGCTGATAAGATGCAGTGATGGCCTGACTTAATTCTAACAGGCTTTAACTAAAGCTATTCTTTGCGGCTGGGGCTTTGCACAAGTAGATATTCAACATGGTATGTGATGCAACGCTCACTGGAAGTTCTGTGTTGGCTTTGGACTAGAGAGATGGGAAAATAACATTCTTTCCTGTGTCATGTACAATCTAAATAGGTAAAGGAAAGAGGAAAAATGCAGTTATTGTTCCTGTATGACTGTTGAGGAACATCCTCAAAGCTGATGTGTTGATGTGTGTCCATTTTCAAAGGTTAAGGACAAGTTATTTGCAACATAAGTTCTGTAATACTGCAGCTTGAAAGAAAATGAGTTAGACTTTCTGGATTGCGGCAGCTATGGAAATATGTATGCTAAAAATCAACTAGCGTGTTTGTTCTGATCCAGCAGAGAAGCACCCAGGGCTTTATTCTCATTCACTACTGGCCAGATAGCAATGTAAAAGAAATTCAGCAGGGGTCTGGCAATTTTCAGCCTAGTCATTACTGCTTCGTACACACTGGGTGAAAAGTGTAACCCTTCAGGCTACAGACAACTGTGCTTAGCTTTCAGCTGAGAGACACAACCTTTTTTTTTTCCCTGCATATGTTCTTGTGCTTTCATTCACAAAGTAGTGGCATTTAGCACCAAATGCTAGAAGTTTGCATATATTACAGAAGCAATTACAAATGTATACAAAGCATTATACTCAAACATTAAAAGTTCCCAAATCTTCTAGATGAGCTTTTCCTGAGAAGTGAAAGTGAGAACAAATACCAAAGAGTATTGGTGTGCTTTAATTCATGAATTTGCTAAACTGTTATCAGAGGATTGTCATGTACATGACAGAGTATCTTTCAAGTCAACAGTGGATGTAAAAAATGTCTTGAGGAAACAAACTAAATTAGTATTTATTGATAAGCAAAAGTACAGTTTATGAAGCATTACAAATCCTTTAGTGTATTAAGGCAGCTTGCAACAGCATCCTGTTGTAAATATGGTTCTAATATTTCTGGATAAAATTCATCCATCCTCCTCCATATGCTGCCTTACAATCATTTGCATATTCAGTTCTAAAAGCAAGACAATAATCAGCATCTGACATAACTGCAAGCAAACATGCTAAAACAAAGTTTTAGAGATGTTCTTATCTTGCATTCAGAAATAAACTGGATCTAAAACTTGAAATGCATAGCAGGGCCTGGCTGAATGTCCATTGAAACCAGAAAAGCGACACAACCCTATTCTTAGAGTGGTCTTCCCATCCAGTTCTTAGTAAGGAAGTAACTGACTGTGTTTATGTTTAAAAAAAGGTCTGATTCTGTGAGAAACTGATAGGTTTTGTAATACGCATTTTAAGGAACCAGAAAAGAGAGGATCAGTTTGGCTTACCTTCAAACTCCTGAGGACTGTGGAAGCTTATGCTCTATGTAGGACAGTGCCTTCATCACGGAACTCCATTTGTCCCTTTCAGATGCAGATTTTCTTCTTCTTCCTTGGTTGCATTATTAGCCTCTCCGTTCTGAAATCTTCTGACATGACAAGTAACCTCCCTCCATCCTGTTGGTTCTTATCTGAAAGGAGAGAAGAACTGTTAGTAAAAGCAGCAGAACAGAGGAATCTTTTTCTCTTTTCTCTTGGTCCCATCTCTGGAGGGGAGGGGACAGGACACACATGTTGATATACTTGCCCTTTAAGTATTCAAAACCACCTGCATTTTTTACAACCTGGAAAAGGACCAGAAGGATTCATCCCTAGAGTACAACTTCTAAAGCAACCTGGCTTCCGAAAGACATGTTAGTGGGGAAGCAGAATCCAGTAGCTGTGGTTGCTTAAACCATTAGAGGGATCCAAGCCAGCCTACAGCTTTGATATTCATATGAAATTTGACATTCATGGTATGCTTTGTGAATATGACTCCAACAGTTTTTTATGAGTTTATAAAGGTGTTAAAGTGTTTAAAACCATAGACATGATATGTGGTCATCGGGAATGTCAAAATCAGTGGGGGTTTTTCCATTACTAATTATCAACCTTGCTTGGTCAATTATTTTCCCTGCATATTGCTTCTCTCTTTATCCACACACTTGCTTCTTCATTTGTCAGGGCCCTGTCCTCTGTTTTCTTTTCTCAGTGTGTGAAGCAACTGACCTTGTTAAACTTGCCACTTAGTGAAATGACCCCCTCCTGTGCTAGCTCGAAAGAAGTTCTTATCCCTCTTGCTTTCTAATTGGGAATTTCAGTTTTCAGCTGGATGATGGACTCATGCTGTAAGAAATCTAAAGGTTGGACCTCTGAAAAAGTCATTAGCATTTGTTTAGACTGACTATGATAAATAGCAGTTCACGCTTGGCAGTTTTAGAATGTCCTATTGAGTTGTGAATTAGTTGATTGCTAGTAGTAACAATAGCTATGAAACAAATTACAGTGTTGTTACGTTTTTGTAGGAAGTTTTGTAACAGTCAACTGTCTTTCAAATTAAAGGGGCTCTCTGAGCCCCTTTCATAAGTCATGTATTTGCAAAGACCCTAGCAAGAAATCTAAGTGGCCAAAATGAAGGTTAGAATATATATTTTATATTTATTTTAAACTAATAAAAACCCAAGAAGCTGTATGATTTAATTTAATATTTTTTCTCCCTTGCTTTGCAGGCCTGTATGAATTTCAATGATAGTGGTGCATGTGTCACGCAGTGCCCCCAGACTTTCGTATACAATCCCACCACATTCCAACTGGAGCATAATCACAATGCCAAGTACACCTATGGGGCTTTTTGCGTCAAAAAGTGCCCACGTAAGTGCTGAGTTAGCTGCCTTTTCGTGCAGTGACAGAAAGTTTGAGTTGCATTTCAGGAGCCATGAAAACAATGACAGAATGAGAGCTAAGTGCATGGTGCAATGTCCCAACTCACTCCACATGTGCTTGCAGCCTGTAATAACTCGGTCATTTGTTAATTAAAGACAGTGACATTCTGGGTTGCTGAAACTTCCCAAGCATCCTATGCTGTAGTGATTTTCTTAAAGATAAGGCAATCACTATGTTTCTGTTTTCATGACCACCACTTGTTACATTCATGCTTTAGATCAGCATTTTAAAAATTTCAGGATGAACTGTTAAAATAGTGCCAAAAAGCTGTATTGGTGGGATTGTAAAATTTTGTTTTCAGAAAAATAACGGTCCACGACCAGTACTACCTGGCACCAAATGCTTTCATAATGCCAATGTCCTTTTCTTGACTTGGACTAATGATGGTTTGACAGAAGGTTGTCACAAATATTTTCTGAGCAGGTTTGTCCCAGTGAGGAAGACGCGTGCAATACTGACAGAAATACAGTCTTAAAACTCCAGTGTAAAATTAGAGGGGAGGGGGGGGAGTTAAAAAAAGGATAATCCCATGCATGTAAAAAACCCACATGCTTCTGAGATACCAGACAGATGATGACAAGTAACAGAAAAATTTAGAGGGTTATCACTTACATAGTCTTTGCTACTGCCATTTTAGTTAGAAGGAAAAATAAGGGAGACAAGATTCTTGTTCCCCCTTTCATTCCCACTCAAATTGAGAGTTGTGTTGTGCATTAATTATTTTATACATAAATTACATATAAGAAGGATGGGTAATCTATAATAAATGGAACCATAATTCAACCTAAAGCGAAATCCAAATTTTGAATGTCTGTGGAGAACTTCAGATTGACAGTAGGCTTAGACTGTGACTGTCAAGGCTTAGTTCTGTCTCTGTTAGAGTGGTGAGTTTTTTGAAGCAAGATTATTTTTTTGTTTATAAAACTGGTAGAACATGGACTACTTAAGGGGTATGATTCTTTGTCCAAATACTTAATTAAACATTTCTTTTTTTTTTCTTTTTCTTTGTTTCTTGACGTTACTAAGCTTTCAGTTATCAGTCTATATCCGTTTTGGCAGTTGTTTTACAAGGCAAAATTGATATACTTGTCATTGTCTTGTGCTGTGTTTTATCCCAGACGTATATATTTCTGTTTGTATGAATGAGACAGGGCAGAGCATCTTGTTTTATTTCTCTTCAATTACTGTAGCTTTTTTTAGCACAAATGATAAAATCAAACTGGGGGAGGAGAGGAATCAGGCCTGACAATTCATGGTTTTTCATAAGTCTTTGACAACACGCCTAATTTGTTTGCTTATGCACTTCTGTAAACACTGGACATTAAGTGTTAATGTCAATGTGGAAGTGCTGAGGTAATTAATATGGATTGACATAGAGTCCAAAAATATGTGTCCCACTATTACTTAGTCCAGTGGTTCACTTTCTGCCAATATCTTCTTTTTCTCCTCAGACAACTTTGTGGTAGATTCCAGCTCTTGTGTCCGTGCATGTCCAAGCTCCAAGATGGAGGTTGAAGAAAATGGTATTAAGATGTGCAAGCCCTGCACTGACATTTGTCCTAAAGGTAGGCAGTAGTTTAGCATAAATTTTCTTGAATGTGGTCTGTGCTGTAGTAGAGCAGAGCAGGGTGTTATTTTGGCATGAAATACCCTTCATGAGTATGTTGTAGAATATTAATAGCCTTTGGATATCCACAGAACCTTGAGCTATGTAGGCTGTGGGTGAAGTGTATTCTGAAATACAGTAGAATGAAAATTTATTCAGTTGTAATGGTAATACAACCAAACTAATTACTTTTGATTAGATAAAAATGAGGGGGATTTCTCTTTTGATTTAAGACAAGTCTGAAACATTTCTTTATTATGTTATTTTATGACAAGTTTTTCCTGGAGGTGTTTTAGAGCTGTCCTTTTGTCATTCCAAAGGGTGCCATACTAAAGGCCTGGCTTCAATGTAAGGTATGTCTCACAGGTGTCAATACAATATTAGGTTTCCATTAATTTCCTCTGTCTTTTAAAAATGTCTCTCTTTTCCCAGAATCTTCTACCTCCTTTCTAAGTGTCCAAAACAGAGACTAGACGTTTTTGAGTGTTGATGCTGTTGAGAAGACTGAAATCTATAGGTTACCTTGCTATCCTGAGCTCCACTAGCAAGACTTTCTGCTCCCTACTTGAAGGTCTCAGGAGCAAAGAACCATCAGTTTTCCCACATGGGCCTATGTCACTTTTCAGTCCTGGTGGAAGCCATATCTGGAAGGGAATTCACAGTGAAGCTACTGAAAAACTCTGTAAATCAACAGTCATGCCACATGGCTGAAGAGTCAAACACAGAGATCTCTGCCAAGGCGGGGTACTGACATGCTGAATTTTAATTGAAGGCAACATCCAGTCCTTTGACCTGATCTCAGTAACAGCTTTTTCGCTGGGTAGATAGTTTTGTGCATGAAAATGCACATGTAGTGTTCCTTTCAAGCTCTTAGCCTTACTCTGTGAGGAGGAAAGTTATCACATGTGTGTAAAAGGTTCAGGTGTGCTGCTGGTAGATGCCAGAAGATGAGCCCAGTTAGGGAGAAAGGATACATTATGTGATGGAAGTCATGAAGGACTTGTTCCTGGATGCACCATGCATCCCAGAAAATGCATTTAAATTACATAGAAAGGCTGCACAGAGAAGCAGAGAAGTTTCCTCACTGGGTGCCAAAGTTTCTCCAGGCCCGAGTAACTTATTTGTTGGGATGATGAGTAAGGAGTTGTTTGTATGTCATTTGTAAAGGAACTTATGGCATGTGAATGGTCAAGTTAACAAATCCACCAGAGCAAAGGGGACCTCTTGAGCTATCAGTGTTAGTATCTCTCGGTTTCTGCAATGAGTAGGGCACAAATAAATGGTATGGCCACCAGGCTAGCCTGAGCTAAGTTATTAACTATCTGTTTACAGCTGGCTTGAGCGAGATCTTGTGTGGTTCATACAGAATCACAGAATCACAGAATAGTAGGGGTTGGAAGGGACCTCTGTGGGTCATCTAGTCCAACCCTCCTGCCGAAGCAGGGTTAGATCCCGTGTGAAATACCTTAACCTGTGTACCAGGATGCTATTCTGTGGCAGGTACTTTCGCTTATTGTTTGTTTTAAATTGGCATGTGATTTTTTGGGAAATATGGGTAAAGGATGCCATTTTAACACCTCTCTGCTGCTTTATCTCTGGAAGAAATGAAGACTCGTGTCTAGAAGGCAAACATGCTCTGATTCAGTGATTGTTTTTTCCTAGTTCTTTACACAAACTCGTTGTTTTGGCAGCATGTGATGGCATTGGAACAGGGAGTTTAGTGTCAGCTCAGACGGTGGATTCCAGCAACATTGACAAGTTCGTAAACTGTACCAAGATCAATGGCAACCTTATCTTCCTTGTTACTGGGATTCATGGGTAAGTGACAAAATGTTAAGACATTATGTCATGGTGCCAGCTGAAACAAATTGTGTCTGCCTCTTAATGATGGCTGCAGGCTTATTTTGCAGAATAGCAGATCCAGGATAAGTTAGTTTTCTGCCTTCCATTATGAAGGAAACTGTTACCTTGATTCTTATGATTCAACCTCTAGGAAAAGAAAGGGTGAAGTCGACTGTTTGCACTAGAAAGAGATGACTATGATCTCTGACTTTATCAGATCCTTGGTACTGGCTTACAGTAATGGCTGGTTAGAGAACAGAAGGGAGACAGAGAAGTTACCTTCTTCTGTTCTAAATTTCATATAACCAGCAGTCTAATGTGCAGAATATGCAGAGAGAGTGCCTCACCTAGCATAAATCGTCATAGCCTAGATGGCTGTCATTGCATATAAGTGCAAAAATGCTTTGAGGTTTTAATGCTTGGTGGGGGTATTTCATTTCTCAGGTGAAAAACTTGCTTGGCAAGTATCTGTGCTATTTGATGTTCCCTGTCCAGTACCTTCTAAAATCTCTACCCTTTTAATGCTATGTGTCAGGAACTGCTGGCATGCTTTTAGTTTTGTTTCGCTTATAGCTTGTCACTCATTTCAGTAGCAGTTTTGTTAGTCCTGGTAGTACACTATCCCAGTTGTACCATTTGAGCTAGTTTGCTGGAAAAAATCTTGAAGATTCATCTTTCCTTCAGGGAGGTCACCTGTGCTTGTTGAGAATCTCTTTATTTTCCATGAGCATAAATATTTGCTAAAACATTAATGATTTGAACCTTAAAAACACTGAGCACCATTATTTTCCTTCAAGATGACTTGGGAGAAGGTAGATAGAGGTTCTGCTGGAACAATAGTCTGAAGAAGCTGGAAACAGTCTGAAGAAATCTGGCACATATGCTGCCTCAAAGCAAAGTGTTGACCTCCTGAATACTGCTTTCTACATGTTATGGCTTTGAGAACCTGATCTTTTTTTATATAAAGCATCACGTTTTGTGCTTTTAATCTTTCAGAGACCCGTATCACACAATTGCCGCAATCAATCCAGAGAAATTAAATATCTTCCAAACAGTGAGAGAGATAACAGGTAACACGTCTGATTTAATATAATCTGAACTTCTCACTTTGCATTTACGATTGTCATTTGTTGGGTTTTCTGAAGAACACAAGGTGCTTTTCTCTTTAAACTCATCACGCTGTAAATTTGATAGAAGTTTAATACACAACAACTTCAGTCTCAGCTGATTTTCACAAGTGCGTTGTCCTTTGCTCATGAATACAGAATGCCCTTTATGTTTGGTGTACACAAGCATCAAAAGACCAAGACCTTACTGGCAGGTGGGCAGGGGAGGCAGTCTTGGTCCCACACTAGCAAAATGGGAAAAGTGTTACAGGGGGGGCACCTAGTGAGGAAAATGGTGATGAAATGTGGGAAACCATTATCTTCACCTGAAAGCATTTGAAATATGCCTTGGAAAAAACACCAGACAAGCCAGTCTGGTTTTGCAGTTACTTCTCGTTGTCTAACAAAAGATGCAGCTGCAAATTAGCTTCTGTAATTTAAAGACAAATGTTTGAGGTGGTAGTCCCTCCCATGTTTTTTGACTTTTCAATGGGGTCGTATAGCTGGAACTCAGTACTTTGTTTGCATCTTTCTTCTTGTTGTTTCACCACTCGGGGGACACTGAGGAAGATACTGCAGCTTTAAGTTCTCGATTGACTGCTGATTATGTATAGATAGGGAAAAAAAAAAAAAAAAAAAAAAGTATTTCATGCACAAAAACCAATCTTTGGACACTACAGCATGATTGTAGCTGGGTGGAGCTCAGCAAGTGTTTGGCATTTGAAATGGGTTCTCTCCTGTATGCTTCACCTCTCAAAAGTTGTGTATTTCAGCAAACCAGTGGGATTAAAAATGAAACTAAGCTCTAAATCTCTCCTTAATTAATGTCAAAGATAATCTGGCATCTGGGTGTTTGTAATTTGCCGTTCTTAAGCACACTTGTCTAATTGACAGTCTCAGCTCTACTACTTAAGTGGAATTACCCCTGTGCTTAAAGATGTACTGCATTTCAGTCCAGTACTGAATCAAAATCATAGGGAACTGCATTGTGTAGAGTTCTGTGTAGAACAAAGTAACTAGTCCCGCAGACTTGTGCAGGAAATGCTCTCTGATGACAAACAGTCCTCCCACACGCACTCAGAAACAAATGGAAGTTCTTTGTTTTACGAAAGTTTTTTCATCTTTTAATGAATTGTGATGGATCTCTCAACTTCTGTCTCTAGCATATTTTAAAACAGAATGTTCTTAATTCAGGCAAATCTTCATTTTTTTTTTCTGCTGCTGCTGTTCAAAAAAGACTGTGAGGCCTTGCGAGATTCCAGTCTGTGTTTAGGTTCACCCTTGTTGTGGCTGTTGAAAGTGGATGTAATGCTGCTGTGATGAGTCCTCCTTTGCTTTCTTGGAGGAGACAGCGATGAGCAGCCTGATGAATTCAAAGACATTAGTCTGCTGCATTCGTTGCCTATTTATTTATTTTTCTCAAACCAGCACTGTCTTTCTTTTATAGGCTAAGCCTGTCCTAACTCATGTATGTGATAAAGCAGTTTTTATAGCTGAGATCTGTGACATTGATGTGCTTGCCTTTTTCTCCTTCAGGGTATTTGAACATACAGTCATGGCCTGAGAATATGACAGATTTCAGGGTGTTTTCTAACTTGGTTACTATTGGTGGAAGAGCTCTCTATAGGTAAGGTACTTCCTCTGTTGATAGAACCGTTTTTTATTAGTATTCCATGATTCTTCGTTGAGTAGCCCAGAATGCAACGTCTATTGGGAAGGGCATCATAAACTGATATGTTTTTCTCTGTTGCCAGGGTATTCACTAACAATATATTTGCTAATCAGTTGTTTATAATGGGTGATACCTTTTGAACATAATGATTTAAAAAACAGAAAAACAGCATCCTGGTTCATTGCTGTAGCTATTAACTTATTGTCAGGAAAGTAGATTTTATGGTTTAAAATATCTTGTGAACACAAAACATAGCTTAAAAGACATTAACAGTAGAACTTAGCTCCGTTGTCAGGAAGCATATATGGTTGTGATTGGAAGTGCAGACTCATGTGCCCAAAGAGCAGTGTGTTCTTCAGAAGTGGTAAAAGATAAATACATGGAAGAGCACAGAAATCACAGAGGTACCTTGCAGGTGGGGTGTATGTTAGCTCTGCAGTGCCATTTTTACCAGAGATGTTTCTTATGAAAACTCATACGGAGGAATCGGTTTGAAGAGAAGAAAATGAGGTGAAAAATAATGGGGGAAGCACAAGAAAGTACCTGAATGATAGATAGTGCAACCTCTGGTTCCACTTTGTGTAAAAGTAGTAAATCAGTCATGGTATTCTGCTGGCATCTTAAACAGCAACCCAAGCAGATTATGAATGGCAGTGAAACCTTGAGATTGAATTACAGCCCAGCATTCTGTTTGGAAGCAGCAATTTTTATTTGGAACAGTTGGAAAACAATTATGATTATTAAAATACAATAACTTAAAGGATGCCCAGAAACTGGATATTGTCTTCACTAATCTTCAGTCATAAAATATGTGCGCTCATTTCTGTGTTACACAGACAATCATTTACCATTCCTTTGATGAATAAAGGCGATAACCACATATTACAACAAGAGAAAAATGAAATGTAGAAAGTGGCCTGGAAAAAATTCCTTGAAAATCGTAATTTCTTCCTGTGTTACTATAAATGACATTAGTTTGATGCCTGACAGAAGATGTTAAAATATTTTGCATTACTTTGTCAGTTTCTTCTTAGCCTCTAAACTATTATAATAGCACTTTATAGCTAAAAATATGTTAATGACTGAAATGGAACTAGTTGAGTTCTGCTGGCCCACTTGGCCTAGCGCTGTGAGCATCACAGCTTGTGGTATCACAGTTCTTACAGTGCTCATAATTTCCTAGGCAACAGAACTGGATGTTGACTCGTGAAATATTTGTGTCACCCCAAAGTAAAAGTTTTCTGGCCAAATTTCAGTTTTGCCAGAAAGGATAGCATGACATTAGGAGCTAAGTCTAGCAGGAAATTCCCAACCACCTCTAAGTTCTGCCTTCTGGATCTAATTCCTATTCTCTCTTTCCTTTGTTTTCATCACAGTGGCCTTTCCTTACTCATCCTAAAGCAACAAGGCATTACGTCTCTGCAGTTTCAGTCTTTGAAGCAAATCAGTGCTGGCAACGTCTACATAACAGACAACAGCAATTTGTGCTACTACCACACTGTCAACTGGACCAGCCTCTTCAGCACACCCAGTCAGAAGACGGTGATCCATCGAAATAAAAAGGCAGAGAACTGCAGTAAGTACTGCTGCTCAGCGCAAATCTTCTTGCCTATGATTGGCTCACTTGGGGGGAAAAATGATACAACTACTGACATGATACAGGGTAGTGGCTTAGCCAGAAACTCGGCTGGTGTCTCGTGGAGTTCCATGGACATCAGTGGAGCTGTGATCGTTTACAGAATCTGAGGATTTGGCCCAGTCTGCCTCTGAGCAGACTTACAGGTGAATGAAATGTTTTAAGGTATGAACAAATGGAAGGAAGAAGAGAGAGGATGCTGCTTCCTTACCATGACATGAACTTTCCAGATTAGAGATCCAATTTCACAAATATGAATTCTGAAGGCCGTAAATGTGGAGTGAATGTAGAATTCATGAATCACATAATCACAGAATGGTTTGGTTTGGAAGGGACCTTTAATGGTCATCTAGTCCAACCCCCCTGCAATGAGCAGGGACATCTTCAACCAGACCAGGTTGCTCAGAGCCCTGTCCAACCTGACCCTGAATGTTTCCAGGGATGGGGCATTGACTACCTCTCTGAGCAACCTGTTCCAGTGTTTCACCACCTTCATGGTAAAAAATGTTTTCCTTGTATCTAGTCTAAGTCTACCCTCTTTCAGTTTAAAAGCGTTACCCCTTGTTCTGTCATATCAGACCCTGCTAAAAAGCCTGTCCCCGTCTTTCCTGTAGGCCCCTTCAGGTACTGAAAGGCTGCAGTAAGGTCTCTCCGCAGCCTTCTCTTCTCCGGGCTGAACAGCCCCAACTCTCTCGGCCTTTCCTCACAGAAGAGTTGCTCCAGCCCTCAGATCATCTTTGCGGCCTTCCTCTGGACCCGCTCCAACAGGTCCATGTCTTTCCTGTGTTGGGGGACCCAGAGCTGGACACATGACTCCAGATGGGGTCTCACCAGAGCAGATTAGAGGGGCAGAATCACCTCCCATGTGAAAAGCATTGATTTTATAGATTTGAAAACTACAGCCCTTTCCTTATGGAATAAGATTAGCATTTTTTGCTTCCCCTACCCTGCTTCACCAAAGTGGCCCTGTCTTAATCCAGAAAGGTCACTTTTGGGACTGGTTTTGATCACTGAGTTCCTCCTTTCTATATTTGACCTATCTGATAAAGAAGATTACTTTTAAATGCCCCTGGTTGTCTTTCAGGAAAGCTTATATGCCAGTACCTGTACTGAGATCCTAGTACTGAAAAGCAAGTGAATGCTATGTAGCAGGTGAAATAATTGGATTATACAGAAATCAGGCAGCAAATTGCATTAATACAGTTATATTGTAGCAGCAATACAGTTCATCTTAAACATCTGTTAGACTGCTAGCAAGAGAGGAGATTCGTTAAATCGCTGTATGTTTAAGTGATATTTCTGGATTTTGTGCTTTGACCAGCCAGATATATTTGCTTTGGTTTTTTTCAGGCTGTGGTCCTACTTTGAACTTCTTCTTTTAGTCTTTTTTTCTTTTTTTCATTCTTTTTTTCCTTTTTTTTCCTCCCCTCCCTTTGAAGTACTGTTCTGCTATGCTTTGAGAGAATTTGTGGCTGTGCTCATCCCTGTAGCATAGGTGTACCTTCCAGTGTTAGGTGAATCACAACTATACATTTATCACCGCTGCTCAGTTATTTTTCTAATCTCTTCTGCCATGTAAGAGCTACATGAAGTGGAAAGTCTTGTTTGGTAGATCTCTGCATGGTTTTGCTATTTTGATTTTTTTTTTTTAATTATTGTTATTATTAGACTATTTCTCTACATAGAAGTTAAAGAAGTGAAGGTTAAAGAAATGCCTCTTGCTATTGATGTAGATAGTTTAGTTGTGATCATGCCTGAGGATGTAGAGGGAAAGGGTTGTTTCTTAACCTCCAGCAGATGACTGTCCACTTTTAAACTGCAGCATACTTTATCCTTTGATGTAAACCTTCGGTTATGTGAGATGGAAGGATGTGTTGAACAGAAATTTTCATGGTAGAAGTTTTTTGTGTGTATTTGTAAAAGATGTCTTTGGCATAAATAGTGAAACTGTGGATTAGACCCTTACATTTGGTAGAACATTTGTGGGAAGGCAATATAGAAAGTGGAGGAGCGATCCAGTGTCTGTTGCTACTTCTGCAGTGAAGTGCACGAGGGTGTCCTGTATGTTGAACAGCTTCATGCCCGGTGTCCTTACTACTGTAAACCAGCCAAGAGGTAACAAAAGCATGAGTCAATGAATCCAGGTGGTTGTCTGTGAGAGCAGCATAGCTCTTGTCATCCGGAGATGATAGAACACGTGATGATGATGTCATGTAGGAATGAAGCATTGACAAAGCATCCAAGAATAGTCCTGAATAATGAAATGAATTAACCAGTTGCAGGACAAAGGCTGCACAGTCCCTATTTTCAACACACCCAACTTTATCTCATTTGGAATTAGCTCCTATTGCTCAACATCTGCGAGCTTTGTATCATCTTAATGCCTTCTGTTCTCTTGTTTTTCATTTCTTCCATCTTAAGGCTTTTTCTTTGCTTAGAGTTCTGAGGGTGAATATTATTTGACCTTTGAATGAGATCAGCCTTGCAAGGGAAAAGCATGCATTTTCTGGCACCATCAACTCCTTTGAAACTCAGAGGAAAGCTCCTGACTTCCAACAAATAACTAGTGCCTTCAGTCTTGCCAGCTAGAGCATTTGTAGATGGCTTGTAGTTCTGGAATTTCAGCGAAGACCACATGGTGAAGGGCTCCGGAGCAAGGGATCGCGCTGGGGGAACCTTTTCTAAGCGGCAGAACTGCCAAGATAGGCATCCAGGGAGAGAGAGCGTGTGTCCCTGTCCCCCCCCCCCCAAGCGGGAAGTGCTGAGACCTGACAAGCAGTGGCTCTGACTCAGTGCGGGTGGGGTCAAGAGTGATGGCAGCCCCCTCCCCCCTCGCAGCCCCTGGGGAGCGCAAGCGACCAGGAGCGCAGCGAACAGGATGGGCAAACAGGGCGTGGCACAGCAGTTTGCGTGGCAGTTCGCACAGGCAGGGCAAGCAGGCAGGGCCCCAAAGAGTGGCCAACTCCCCAGGTAAATTCAGCTGGTGGTCATCGCTTGCTCGGCTAGGAGACATCGAGCTATGGTCTCCACTCAGCTGAAAGCCATCACTAGGCAGAATGTGGCAACCCAGACAGAGCTATCTTATAAACAGGCAGCTGTGCAGGTCTCTGGCTGCAAGGAGTGCGTGAGCCTGTCCCTGGCATCAGAGGACAGCGGGCAGAATGCCTGTGTGCACTGTGACCAGGTGGATGATCTGCTTAGCCTGGTGGCAGAGCTCAAAGAGGAGGCAGAAAGGTTAAGGAGCATCAGGAAGTGCGAGAGGGAAATAGACTGGTGGAGCCATGCCCTGCCATCCCCAAAACAAGCGCAGAGGATGGATGCTCCACAAGAAGCAGAAGATCCCCTGCCCTCTTGCCACCAGGCAGAAAGAAAGGACCTGAGAGACAGGGGGGAAAGGAAATGGGTCCCTGCTCGGGGTGGCAGGCGAATCCCCTCCCGGCCTCCCTCTCCACTCCAGGCCCACACATGGGGTTCCCCAGAACTAGGTAGTCAGTCCCAGACATCACGACTGCCACCATGAAGAAAAAAAGAAGGGTAATTGTCATAGGCAATTCCCTTCTGAAAGGGAACAGAGGGCCCGATATGCCGACCAGACCCATCCCACAGGGAAGTCTGCTGCCTTCCTAGGGCCTGGGTGAGAGATATCACTAGGAAACTCCCTGGTCTGTTATGGCCCTCTGACTATTACCCGCTCTTAGTTGTTCAGGTTGGCAGTGATGAGATTAAGGACAAAAGCGCACGGGAAATCAAAAGGGACTTCAAGGCTCTGGGGTGACAGGTTAAGGGATCAGAAGCCTATCCCTCCAATTGCAGGGGAAGATGAAGGAAGAAACAGGAGGAGTCAACAGGTCAATACCTGGCTCCAAGCCTGGTGTCATAGGCAAAATTTGGAGTTCTTTGATCATGGGTCAGTTTACATGGCACCAGGCCTGCTGGCAACAGAAGGGGTACACCTGTCGCAAAAGGGGACGAGGATCCTAGCTCAGGAGTCAGCAGGGCTAATTGACAGGGCTTTAAACTAGATTTGAAGGGGGAAGGGGATAAAACCAGGCTAGCTAGTGAAAAGCCTGGGGGTGGCAATTCAGCTGCTAGTGGACGGTGAGCTAGCGAGGACCTTCACTCTGCTGAGTCAGTGAGGGTATGAAACAGGGAGCTGTGCGGCAGCAATGGTGCAGCTTCACTGGGGGCTCAGCTCAAATGCCGTTATGCAAATGCATGTAGCATGGGGAATAAACAAGAGGAGCTAGAGATGTGCGCACATCTGTGGGGCTATGATATCATTGGCATCACAGAGACGTGGTGGGACAGCTCCTATGACTGGAGTATGGGGATGGGAAGATGCAGGCTCTTTAGGAAAGACAGGCAGGGGAGACGAGGAGAAGGAGGTGTCGCCCTCTTTGTCAAAGATCAGCTGGAGTGCATGGAGCTCTGCCTGGGAATGGATGAGGAGCCCACGGAGAGCTTATGGTTCAAGATTAAAGCCAGGGCAGGGACTGGCGACATTACAGTGGGAGTCTGCTACAGGGCACCAGACCAGGACGAGCAAGAAGATGAGGCCCTCTATAAGCAGACAGGAGAAGCCTCACATTGAAAAGCCCTGGCCCTCATGGGGGACTTCAAGCACTCCGACACCTGTTGGAAGGACAACACAGCAGGACACAGGCAATCCAGGAGTTTCCTGGAATGCGTTGAGGACAACTTCCTCCTCCAAGTGATAGAGGAGCCCACAAGGAGAGGTGCGATGCTGGACCTTGTTCTCACCAACAAGGAGGGGCTGGTGGGGAATGTCAAAGTCAAGGGCAGCCTTGGCTGTAGTGACCACAAAATGGTGGAGTTTAAGATCCTTAGGGCAGAGAGGAGGGGGCGCAGCAAGCTCACTACTCTGGACTTCAGGAGAGCAGACTCTGGCCTCCTCAGGGATCTGCTTGGTAGAATACC